TTAATTGGTTCAAATGTATAGGAAGAAACCTCTTGGGTCAAGCGGGAACTCCCACCTATACTTACGAAAATTTCAAGACTGCCTTAGTAAAAGCCTTCCCTGTCGTAAGAAATCGTGAAAATTGGAAGCGGAAATCTTCAGCATATACCAGCGACGAATCGAAAATCTTTCAAGCTTTAGTATAAGAAAAATTCACGTCTTTAAACTCTTGTATGGAAGCCGGCCGAATCCTGAAATAATCCAAGTAATTTTGCCTAGGTTACTTCACCAAGTACAAGACTTTATTGAATTAAGGAACCCGACTACATTGGAAAAGTTATTTGAGCTCGCAATCCAGTTTGAAAATAGAAGAATGGCGGACATTGAAAGAAGACGCCAGTATCAACAGCAACGAAGCCAATTTTGTGCGCCAAGACCACAACAAAGGCAAGAGCACAGGTACGGAAGCAAGTCGAATCAGTGGTCAAGGAAACTCGAGTATCCAAAAACTACCGGCGAACGTCGACAGTTCAATAATAAGCCAGAAAAAAAGTCTGAAGGCCAGCGGAAAAAGAAGGAAAGCATGGAAAAGAAGAAAGAAGATTTAAAGTAAAACGGATTTCTGCTGACGGAAGGGTACGGAAATCCGAAGGCCAAGAAAATCACTTTTCCTTCAAGCTAAAGACAATTATTGTGAAAAATTTGATTCTTCCAAAGATTGAAGTTTTTGCGAACAATATCCCAGCCACCGCACTCCTGGATACAGGTGCGCAGTGTTCCTGTATGGCAGAAGATTTTTTTAGGAAATACTTCCATAAATATAGAATATATAATTCGGATAATACGACAGTGTTCGCTGTGCAGGGGGGAAGATGCAAATGCATAGGTAAAATACCACTCTATACTCGTTTTAAGAACCAGCAGGTAAAGATTATGTTTTTTATCGTAAAAAATCTACAAGCACATGTAATTTTAGGGATAGATTTTCTTTCAGAGGCCGAAGCAATGCTGGATTTTAAACAAGCGTCCCTTAAGCTGACCATGAAACCAGTGCTCGAAGAAAAAAGAGAACCACCCACGTTAAATCTCAACCACCTGCCTACGGAAGAGCAACAAAAAATTCGCCACGTGGTAAGTGAATTTGCTTCGTTATTTAGTGATATTTCCGGATTTACTCAAGTGGCGAAACACGAAATCGATACAAGAGATTCACTGCCAGTTCGCCACAGCCATATCGGTACGATAAGACTACAGAAAAAATTAGAGTGGCACATTCGAGATATGTTACGTAAAAGATTATAACGCCCATCTCTAGTAGTTATGCCAGCCCAGTTGTATTATGTAAGAAAAATAACGATTATCCAGTAACACATCCGAAAAGGTGGCGTTTTGCAATTGACTATCGTAAATTAAACTCCATTACTAAATATCCGGTATATCCGTTACCTATTATTGAAGAAATTTTAAGGAGCATAACTTCTACGAAATGCATGACTACGTTAGCCCTAACGACGGGTTATTTTCAAATAGGTGTTAAACCAGAAGATGTGCCTAAGACTGCTTTTATAACCAAGTCTGGCACTTATGCATTCTTGCGTATGCCGTTTGGCCTTTCAGAAGGACCGGCAACATTTCAGCGATGTATGGACATTGTGCTAAGGCCTGTTCTAGGAAAGACCACATTTATATATTTAGACGATATCATTATTACTAGTGATAATTTGGAACAACATATAAAAGATTTGAGAGAGGTGTTTTCATTATTAAATGAGGCCGGTCTAAAAGTAAATGTTGAAAAGTACAAATTTGCAGCCCCTGTATTAAAATACTTAGGACACAAAATATCTCAGAAAGGAATCGAGACGAACGAATCAAAAATAATCGCTATTCAAAAGTATCCGCTGCCAAATACGGCGAAGAATCTGTCTTTCTTTTCTAGAACTTTGTTCATATTATAAGTCCTTTATAAAAGACTTTGCAGCTATTGCTGAACCATTGTTAAAATTAAAAAGGAAAAAGACAAGATTCTCGTGGACGGCCGAAGCCAATAGTGCGTTTGAAAAATTAAAACAAACGTTAACGCAAGCTCCTGTTTTGAAATTTCCTGAGAACGATGAGAATTTAGAAATTTCAGCGGATGCTTCGAATTATGCGGTAGGAGCAGTACTTTCCTAAAATCAGCAGCCCGTGGCATTTTTTAGTGGAAATTTAGATAAAACTCAAAGAAATTATTCCGCGACTGAGAGAAAAGCACTTGCAGTTCTGTTAGCAGTGCAAAAGTTCCGAGTCTATTTTGGAAGTGCGCCAGTAACAGTGTATTCTGATCATGCGGCGGTAACTAGATTATAAGCAGGGAAAATCTTATCCCCAAGGTTAATAAGATGGGCACTCAAGTTACCGGAGTATAATGTGGTAATCAAACACACCCCCGGAAAGGAAAATATCGTAGCAGATGCCCTATCCAGAATAAAAATAAATGAAGATGGTAATACTGTAAAGGTGGCAATGCTCACAGCATATACAATACGATACAATATATTTCATAGAAACTGTAATAACCGAACTGGGTAAGGATACGGAATTTAAAAATATTTATGATTAGTTAAAAGATCCTGAAAATTTTAGCTACCAAGATATGGTGGAGATAAGAAATAGGGCGGCCCATTACGAACTAATAGATGGTCTATTATTTTATACAAAAACTACGAATTCCAAACAACGAAATTCGACCTGTCATCACAGCTAGTTATAGATTAAATATACTGCAGGAGTTGCACGACTCGCCTTTGGCATCTCATGGTGCTATTCGAAAAGCTATCCAACGCGTACGCGAAGCAGTTTATTTTCCTGAGCTGCAAAAGTTAACAAGGGCGTATGTCCAGTCCCGCCCAACATGTCAAGCAGTTAATTATATTAACTTTCCGCCCGGCCGGGTTTTCTAAATAGTATTAAATCCGAATTTCCAAATGAAATTCTTGGCATCGGTTTATTGGGGGCCTTTCCCGAAAAGTCAGTTAAATAAGAGTTGGTATCTCCTTGTTATGTTTGATCATTTTAGTAAGTGGACCGAAATTGTTCCCTTGAAATGAGCCTCCGCGAAATTAGTTACTGATTCTATTTTAAATAAATATATTTTAAAATACGGGGCACCCCTAAAGTTATATCGGATAATGGTCCACAATTTGTAAGGTATTGTATAATAGGAATGTATTTGAAGACATGTGCGAGAAACTGGGCATACGTCATTTAAAAATGGTCCCGTATCGGCCGCAATCAAATATAGCGGAACGGGTCAATACAAATATAGTGAAAATTATTCGTAGTTAATTTTCATGAAAGCTGGGATAACTATGTCAATGAATTAGCTTTCGCCCTTAGGACCGCAAAACATGATACGACGAGCAAAACTCCTGCTGAGTTATTTTTAGGCAGAAAGATTATAACGCCGTTAGATAGATTATTTTTTATGTTCAAAAAAGAGCCTCTGAATTTCAAATGGGCGATATAGAAAAACTAATTAAAGAAGCAAAGAAGAACACTGAAGTAGCACAAAGAAAACAGGAGCTTTATTATGACATTAAACGACGGGGATTAACTGATAAAGTACGGGATGAAGTGTTAAAAATTAAGCATTCACTTTCTTCAGCACCAGAAGATAAAATTGCAAAGTTCTATCCACAATTTGAAGTACCATATGTAATAGAGAAGTAACTCAGTCTGTAGTGGTGTTAAAAGCCAAGAATGGTGTAACCTGCACCGCAAACATTGACCAGATAAAACCATTCTATAATCGTAATAAAATGCAAATATTTCAAGATTTTTTGCATTATCCGGCACGGCAGGCACAATCTCCAGAGGTGGCACAACGACAATCACAAGGGCAAGCCATGAGTAGACAGGTGAATATGAAAAGAAAGTTTCCCCGTTGGAAAACTGAAGGTAACAAGAAAAAGAAGCCGTTCCACCGACCAGAAAAGAGGGGCCGCGACCACCCCCAGAATGAAGAAGGGAAAAGTTGTATTAATGCAAAGAGAGCCAGGAGAAATGGCAGCAACCATAACGCGGCTCCAAAACGGAAGATCTACCCATCGGCTAGGAGTCTACGCAGCAAATGTCGACGAATTGACGAAGGAAAAAAAATCAGCTGCAGATGCAAGGAAGCAACAAACGGTGTCACAGCCAGCAACGAGATCCAGGCAACAACGGGAGAGAGTTATCCCGATTCCGCCAAGAACAGCTGCCATCTGTAATAACTTACTTACATCTTCTTTTATCGGTGGTTCTTGTGTTCTATTGGCCAAAGACACTTTCCTTTAACTAAATCTATTTAATGAAGAGAAGACTATGTACAAGTATTATATACAGATTACAGGATAACTGGTTTATACTTCTCTCAACCACTCTCATCTACCTCTCAACCCTCTCTGCTGAAAACTCTTAATTAGCTAAACATACGGGCGGCGCAGCGCCCTCTATCTCTTTTTTCTACATCACTCCCCACCTGTACTCTTTAATAAGAGTACACAAAATTACTTACATAACAATATCAACATTGATTAATAATGTATTAATACTAAATAGTACGACATATACAAATGAATAATATAAAAGAATAATCTATACTAGTATATATCAAAGCCACAAATGAACATAATAATTAATAATATAATAAAAACTCAAGGATATAACATCTGGATCGATCTTCTGAATTGTCCTTTGGGCGTGCGAACGAGGCACGCTCGAACATATCCATCTCTTCCTATAATAACCTTTTCAATTACACCCATGTCCCAAAGTAGTTTGGATTGTTTTGGGCCTTCTACCAACACAACGTCTCCAGTCTTAATGTTCCGCTCAGTTTTAGGATTAGCAAAGTTATGCGCATTTCTAAGATGGAGTAAATATTGCTCTTTCCACTTGACCCATGTTAATTTTAAGAGCTTAGATTGGTAAAGCTTCCTCCTAGTTAAAGTCTCTTTGTCGGATACCTTATTAAAAATTTCAAGAAATGCTTGGGAAAGTTAAATGTACCACGTCCTGGCAATAAAAACTGAAGGTGTGAGCGGGCGAGGTTCACCCAGCTCGTTGCTCTCGTATGTTAAAGGTCTATTATTTAGCACACACTCGAGTTCAGTTAATATTGTAGAGAGCTCTTCGAAAGTCAGTAATGCTCTGCCTAAGATTTTCTTCAGAGGTTCCTTAATGTTTCTCATCAAACGCTCCCAAAACCCTCCCCACAATGGAGAACGCTCAGGTATGAATTTCCATGTTACCTCTTTGGATGTCAAGAAATCACTCACACTTGGATCTGCTTTGATTCTTTTAAATCCTTTAATTATTTCACATGTGCTGCGGAAATTCTTGGCATTATCTGAATAAATCACTTTGCATCTTCCTCTTCTTGCTAAAAAAACGTCGTAATGAAAAAATGAAACTTTTTGTTGACATATCTGAAACCACTACAATGTGTACAGCACGAGTGACGACGCGAGTAAATAAGGGCTATGTACACCTTTTTGTGGTTATCCGCTTTTTCTCTAATAGTAACTGCTCTCGTTAAGTTGATGCTTACAACTGTGAAAGGATTACTTTGGACTACACGATCTCTGGGTAACTGACCCGTTAACTGTTTGGCGGGCTTCACTGTGACCTTTTTACATACCAGGCAAGCGTTAACAACTTTCTTTACTACTTGTCTTCCTTTAGGTATCCAAAATTCATTCCTGACTTTGGACAATTTTGCCATGACTCCTGAATGGAATAATTTTATGTGTCCACTAAATATCACTAGTTCGGTGAACTTCGTTTTCGGCAGAACAATGGGATGTTTTTCGTCATCTTTTAATTCTGCTTGTTCCAAACGACCTCTGACACGCAAAATACCTCTACTGTCCAGATATGGTGCTAAACTGTAAAGCTTAGAATCTGGTGTTATTAGATTATTCCTCTCTAATTGTTGAATATCCGAAAAGTAATTCGCTCTCTGTACTTGTTTTATCCAGTACTCCTCAGCTTCTTGGATCTCCAATACAGTAAGAGGCCCTTCTTCACAGGCACATTTTCTTAGCTTGGCGACAAACCACTTTCCCAAGCTGTAACTCTCAACAATTTTTCGAGATTGCTGAATTTGGTAATGTTTAACGCATTTTCTTCTTCTGGAATAGTCACCTGAACATAAGTGCTTAAACGTTCCAAATTTTGAGTATCAGTTTCTACTTTAAACTTCTGCTCAGGCCATTGATCTTTAGAATCTTTCAACCATGATGGACCATGCCACCAGTTATTATCTTTCACCAATGCATTTGCTGTTTCACCACGAGTTAATTTATCTGCTGGGTTTTCCGACCCTGGACAATATTTTCCACTTATCAGGCGAGGTACAGTCTTGTATTTCTGCAACTCTATTCGACACGAACTGCTTCCACTCACACGCTGACCCCTTTATCCACCACAAGCAACTTTTTGGAGTCCGTCCACAGAACTAACTTACCTACCAAATCCTGAAACATTTTCAATAGATATTTTCCTAACCTAGCTGCAACTACAGCCCCCATCATTTCCAACCTAGGGAGGGACAACTTTTTTAACGGAGCTATCCTACTCTTCGACACTATAAACGACGTACATACGTCTTCTCTCTCATTCTTATATCTAAAATATGCCACCGCTCCATATGCCACTACTGACGCATCACTGAAAATATGAATTTCAACCGACTGACCTTTACTTAGAACTTCTTTAAAGTAGTACCTCTCTATTTCAACGCGTTTAATTCCTCAATTTCAGTGCACCACTTTATCCATTTGCATCGTAACTCCTTTGGCAACTCAGCATCCCACTCCAAACCTTTCTCCCATATTTCCTGCATCAGTCTCTTAACTCGCACCACAAATGGAGAAATAAATCGGACTGGGTCAAACACCTTAACTGCTGTGCTTAACACCGATCTTTTGCTCTTTCTCAACGATTCTAAACTACTCAACAATGATGTAACGTCTACTCTCAAACCATCCTCTTCTAAGTTCCACACTAATCCTAACACTTTCAACTTACTAACTCTCTCAAACCTACTTTCTTCACACAACCCTTTCTGAATCCACAAGTCATACAGCTCTCCAGAATTAGTGTTTAGCTTTCTCAAACTGAAAGTCGCGTCTGTCAAAATAGATACCGCCTCTGATGAAAGACTGAAAGCTGATTGTACACTTCCCCTCCATAACACAAATTGTATGCATACAGTGAGCTATTTAACATCTCGACACAGTTTTTGCTTGTTTCCGCATATTTCTTTAAATGATGTTTGATCGTTGCACTCAATAAAAACGGTGAACAATTACATCTAAATAATACTCTGTTCATTTGCATAATTTTAAAGTCCTCGCTGTCATTATCAGGATACCAGAGAAATTTTAAATATTGCCTATCATCCCTTGCTATCCCATCATCAAAAATGCCTTTTCTATGTCACCGCAAAATCCAATATTAAATTTTCGAAAGGAAAGAATGATATCCAAAATATTCGGATTTAGGTTTGGGCCCTTTTCTAAGCAATCGTTTAACGATAGCTTTCCTCTTTCGCTACTGCTGCTATTAAATACCATTCGAACTTGAGTGCTTTTTTTATCTTTACGGACCACTGCTCGGAATGGCATAAAGTATCCCTCTCTCGTATCCTCACACTCTTGAATAATGTTGTTTTGTGTCTGAAATTTAATTATTTCCATAAACTGTTCCCTCACAAAGCTGTTACATTTTAAATCTCGCCGCACCCTTTCGAAATGCCTTTTCGCTAAACCAAAATTATTTTCCAAATGATCTGGACTCCTATTTCCCAACAAGCGAGCCTCATACCTTCCGTCTTCATATTTCAAATCCTCTTCAATTGTTTAATCATTCGCTCATCGCCAGCACTCCTTTCCGACGCGCACTCTGAGATTCCTAGACTTTCAATCTCCCAAAGCTGACGAATTTGTTCCGATATTTTTAATTCCTCTTCCGAATCGATATGTATAAACAAGCCGGTGGAGTCTGACCCTGAACTTAGCTTCTTACTCTCTCCCCCCACTCTACCACTCAACGTCCAACCGGATATGCTTTCATGTAATACTAAATAGTCTGTTAACCGATGTGTTTTCTCCGTTAAAATGCAGTTCAAGTAATCATTCCCAATTAAAATCTGTACCTCTGTCACTTCACTATCGCAGCTGTCAGATAAGTGAAATCCTTGTTGGCGAAACTTGTTTATAATTTCTGCAGATGGCCTGGGTAATGCATTGGAACATATGGTTTTTACTTCGAGTGCTTCGATGATTACAGTGAACCCGGTCTTATTTTTTAAAGAAAGTCTTTTTCTTTTAAATTCTCGCACTGGAGGATTCGAAGATGCAAATGTATGAATTCTTAATCTTTCTTTACCAATAGTTGGTAAACTTGCTTTTCTGGAAATAGACTGACAAAGATCTTTCGGAAGCAGAATCGCATAACAACCTAACGTTAAATGTGGAATTATTTCTTACCAGTTGACCAGTTCCTACCAGTGTTTCGAGGAATAGTGAACTAACAGTTGTCTCTTTTGCTGCGCTCGCAGTATTTTTAATGGATTTATTTTCTTGCCCATTTTCATCAGGCTCTCTAAATGCGACAAAGATTTGCAAATATTACATTTAACCCATTTTGCCTTACAAAATGGCTTTTTGTGACCCTTTTTTAAACAGCCCTTGCACTTAAATTGATCGTTTAATGCTTTGAGTTTCTCTGAAATACTTAAGCCGCAGTCTTTTGAGAGGTGAGATTTAAGACAAAAGTCGCACATATAATTTTCGACTGATGTATTAAGCGTCGCCGCTGATACCATTTTCTTTTTAATTGGAGCAATAGTTTTTACGATAGTTTTCGGTATTTCTTTCACTAGTTATCGAAAGTGTTTGTTGTTTAAGATCCAGAGTTAATGACTTTTCGCGCGCTTCTACTTCTCTCTTTAGAAACAACAATAAATCTGACACTGTTGACTTGACTCTGTGTCGACCTTTTGCTCCCTACTAAACTGTAACACTAAATCTTGCGGTATACACTTATATAAAATAGGAAGTAATAGATTGCCGTAAGAATTAAAATTAATATCTAATGTCTCTAAACTTCTTGTTTGAACTGTTATTTCATCATATAGTTACCTTAAACTGGATACATCACTTGAACGGCGTACTGGCTCCAAAGCTAGGAGAACGTTCATATGCGCGCTAATATTTCTTTTTTCCCAAATCTGTCAGTTAAGATTTCGATGGCCTTTATATAGTTTTCTCCTATTAATGGCAATCCGTTTATAGTTTTTGCAGCTGAGCCTGTGAGTAAAGATCTTAAATAGTTAAACTTCTCAACATCTTGAGGGGTATTGTTTTCGTGAATGGCAGCTTTATACTGAGCCCAAAATTCAGTAAATTTACATAAATCGCCGCTGAAAGTTTCTAAGGTTATGCGAGGCAATTTAGTATTATAATTAGTTTTGATTTCCGAAACTTGTGAAGTTGTTCCGGTTTTACCCACATTTTGAATTTCTATTGACTTTCGATTTACTTCTAATGATGGATTCGCTGTATTCTAAACAATGTTCTACTTCTGTCTCTAATTCCTGAACAGCGCTTTGAGCATTAATAACTTCATCATATTTTAACAAGCTAGTTTCTCTCTGGATTAACACTGAAAGCGATTCCTGCAACACTTCTAGGTTCGGATTCTCGCTTTGCAATTCCTCATCCAATTTCCTTATTAATTTTGTTACTCTGGTACGAACCGAACCTCTAATTTTTCATTTCTCTCGACGGTTTCATCAAAAACTCATTTTCAAAGATAAATTGCATGCAGATAAAATGAAATGACTCACCTTCTGGCCTGATGCTACCAAAAACTTGATGTATGTAATAACTTACTTACATCTTCTTTATCGGTGGTCTTTGGTTCTATTGGCCAAACCAAGACAACTTTCCTTTAACTAAATCTATTTAATGAAGAGAAGACTATGTACAAGTATTATATACAGATTACAGGATAATTGGTTTACACTTCTCTCAACCACTCTCATCTACCTCTCAACCCTCTCTGCTGAAAACTCTTAATTAGCTAAACATACGGGCGGCGCAGCGCCCTCTATCTCTTTTCTCTACACCATCAAACGGCCGGGAGTACAAGCAGATGTTAAAAAGAAGTTCTTCAAGGGTGATCGAACTGGAAAAAAAAGGAAGCTCACGGAGGAAGGAACCGAAGGGCGAACCCGCACAAGACGGAGGATAAACCAGACGGTAGTCTTTGCCACTTTCCAGGACTGAGCGGCAAAACGGATGTCGGAATATCATAAAGATAAGTAAAACTTTATGTTACTTTGAAACTTTAAGTTAATATTTCGTTCTTACTGCAAGTGGCAGAATTTAAGAAGTTTTACCTCATGTGAGGCCCATAGAGCTGTAATGTACTAGAGAGAGAAACGGCAACCCTGAAGGGGAACAGGAATGCGAACCACGTGACATTTGGAACATTTCCCAAATCGTATTTCCCGCGGATCTTCCTTGCCATTACAGTTCTATGGAGAATTTGTGAGAAGCAAGTGTTTTTGGTGTAAGCGCATTGTTTCAGACTTCAAAAATGATACTTTCGTGCTCCGCATATGGATGTAATTCCAGATATGTGAAAGATGGAGGAGTAACATTCACAATGAGTTTTTCTAGTTTTAAAACCTAATTTTATAAATGTAGGGTTTTTTTACCACTCTACTTGCCTTTTTCTAATAAAAATAGATTTTC